TTTGATACCAGAAGTTTTTCAAAATGCTCCTTCCAGATCCTCAGCACGCTGTATGTATCTGTCACCAGGTTTCCTTCTATCTCTACAGGAGGATGTGTCAGCACCAAAGCCTTCGGTTTGGACTTCATTCTGACTCCTGTACATCTCGATTTGCTCACGCTCATGTACATCTCGACAATCCACGCCTTATGAGAACCTTGAAAAAATATTCTTTAAAAAATCCACACCTAATGAGAGCCTTGAAAAAATATTCTTTAAAAAATCCACGCCTAATGAGAGCCTTGAAAAAATATTCTTTAAAAAATCCACGCCTTATGGATCCTTGAAGAAAATATTCTTAAAAAATCCACGCCTTATGGGAGCCTTGAAAAAAAATATTCTTTAAAAAATCCACGCCTTATGAGAGCCTTGAAAAAATATTCTTTAAAAAATCCACGCCTTATGAGAGCCTTGAAAAAATATTCTTTAAAAAATCCACGCCTTATGAGAGCCTTGAAAAAATATTTTTTAAAAAATCCACGCCTGATTAAAAAAAAATCCACGCCTTATGAGAGCCTTGAAAAAATATTCTTTAAAAAATCCACGCCTTATGAGAGCCTTGAAAAAATATTCTTTAAAAAATCCACGCCTTATGAGAGCCTTGAAAAAATATTCTTTAAAAAATCCACGCCTTATGAGAGCCTTGAAAAAATATTCTTTAAAAAATCCACGCCTTATGAGAGCCTTGAAAAAATATTCTTTAAAAAATCCACGCCTTTGGTAGTCTCTGGTTTTTCTTGGTTTTTCTAATGGACTTTCCAACAAACCGAAGTTCCTTTGACGATAAATAATAATCATTAATGAAAATCCACTCCTTGGAATGGAGCTGGAAGATATTTTTCATAATCCACGCCTTAGATGGGTGACTGAAAAATATTTAAAAAAAATCCACGTCGATTTTTGGTGATTGAAAAAATATCTTTAAAAAAATACACGCTACTGAGTGTTTAAAACGACATAAATCTTTCCCGCTCTTCTGTATAGTATTATCACATACTTTTAGGGATAAGTTAAATCGATTTAAATAAAGAAAAATGATCTACAAAAGATTGTAGATTTTAAGGCTGTGATAACATATACATATAATCGAACGTATTTGCGGGATATACATATAGAAAATAAATTATGTGTATGTGCATTACTAGCACCTACGAATGCAAATTTTATTGTTACTCTTCTTTTCAATTTCAAAATTGTAATTTTCTGCCCTGAGGCTTTCCTGTCCAGAGAGACAATTTTATAAAAAGAATCTACAGTTACTGACTACTAAATATTCAAATAGCAATTAAAATAAAAATATTAGAATTTAAAATTTCTAGCCTTACTATGAGTGCGAATATGTAACACCATAGCCCCGGCGCTACGCTTCTGTCAACGCGGATATAATTTTCCACTGTAAAATTGGGTTGAATTGACAAGAAAAAAATATCAATTATCAAGTCAAGCTGAAAAATAATAGCAATAATTTTTATCAGTGCTGATGTGGCATAACAGCTTGCAGTTCAGACAAAGGCAAAACGAAATACAAAAAGAGTCACCATTGGTACAGCACAATGAAAAGATCTTATGACGAATTCTTCAAAAAAAAAATCTAAGAATTCTCTAAGCGAGGATTTTTAAAAAAAATATTTTGGATTTTTTAAAAATATTTTTTCAAGGGTTATGTGATACGTAGACGTAGCAACTATCACCGACGTGGATTTTTTTCAAATTCCAAAAATTGGCGTAGATTTTTTAAATTTTTTTTTTTTTGAACTTCCAAAAATAGGCGTGGATTTCTTACAAATATTTTTTCGAGTTCCCAAAATATTGTATTTTATATTTTTTTCCAAAAAAATATAAAAAGATCTCATATCATGGCCGGTTACTGTATTCGTATTTATTTTTGCCCGCGATAGCACTGTCTATCATTATTTCATACCATTCAATGGATCTATCGATCGATCCATCGCACCTTTGACACCTCTGTGTAACAGTTTTTTTCCCTGTTGCTGTTCTCATTGATCGGTCATTAAAATGAAAACAACATGTAAGTGATGCACATGAGCACGGTGTAAGAAGATAAGTGAAACTGTTATACTACGTCCCGGGCGGGACGGACTGTTATAACATATAAATGGATTGAGGTAGATCCAAGTGTATTCAGAAGTGTTTCGACATTTGAAAGTGAAATATATAAAAAAAAACAATTGCAACAACATGAAACAAATTTTAATTATTGGTCTGACAATTATTGCTGTAAGTTTCCACAGAGGGGTGGCATAGGATGCGAATTAAAAAAAAATTATATATATGAAAACTTATTTTTACAGATTGCCTCCGGTCGTGTTGTTCGCGAAGTACCCAAGGAAGACACCTTAACGGAAAAAATCGATTCTGGCCTTAAGGATGTGGAGAAATTTGTACAAGATTTGACAGGATCCAATACTGATGAGCTGAAGCAGAAGGCCGGTGAACAGGTGGAATTTTTGGTCAATCAATTCCATTTGTGGACCACTAAATTAAAAGAACAGGTAGGTCGGTCGTAGCTTTGAAAACAATTTCCTGTTATACTTAAAAATTTTGATTTTTTCTTCGCATAGGCCAAAGAATTGGAGAACAATGATATAGTCAAGGATTTACGCCACACAATAGATCAGGGTATTGAAACAGTGAAGGAAAATGTCGACACCCATGTTGCCAAATTTAAGGAAGAGAAACCCGAGGCCTATAATAATATTGCCCAACACGTTGATACCGTTAAGTCGACTTCTTCGGCGATTATTGCCAAAATCGAAGAACTAACCAATTCTGAAGAAGCCAAACATTTGAAGGAGTCCTCATTGAAGTTCATCGATGAAGTTAAGAAATCGCTTTTGCCCGAATCCAAAGATGGTGAGAAGAAAGAGTGAGAAAAAAAATAAGTATTTTTAAGTGAAACTTTCATCCGAATTAAAGAAAAGCAAATAAAAACATAAAGAAATTAATTACATAAAGAAAACATTTATTTCAAGGCCTTCACAAAGCGTGGATTTTTTAAAGAATATTTTTTCAAGGCTTCAAAAAGGCGTCGATTTTTTAAAGACTATTTGTTCAAGGCTTATATAAGGCATAGATTTTTTAAAGAATATATTTCAAGGCTTCTATAAGGCGTGGATTTTAAAAAGAAATTTTTTTGAATTTAAAAAATAATATTTTTTCAAGGCTTCTATAAGGCGTGAATTTTAAAAAGAAAATTGTTTGAAGGCTCAATTAAGGCGTGAATTTAAAAAGACAATTTTTTCAAGGCTTCTATAAGGCGTGAATTTTAAAAAGAAAATTGTTTGAAGGCTCAATTAAGGCGTGAATTTAAAAAGAATATTTGTTGAGGGCTTCTATAGGGCATAGATTTAAAAAGAATATTTTTTTCAAGGCTCCCATAAGGCGTGGATTTTTTAAAGAATATTTTTTTCAAGGCTCCCATAAGGCGTGGATTTTTTAAAGAATATTTTTTTCAAGGCTCCCATAAGGCGTGGATTTTTTAAAGAATATTTTTTTCAAGGGCGTGGATTTTTTGATGAATATTTTTTTCAAGGTTCTATCAAAGGCGTGAATTTTTTAAAGATTTTTTTTAAGGCCTGAGTTTGTAACGCCGCGAAATATTGGTCATAGACCGACCTTTAAGTATACCGATCATCATATCTCGACTAGCTGAGTCGATCTAGACATGTGTGTCCGTCCGTCCATTATAATTTGTAAACACAATACAGGCCACAGTTATGGATAGTATATCCAAGAGGAATTGTTGACCTTTAAACTGATACCAATTATTTTGTCGTATGTACTCGGATGTAGGAGTTACACTTAAATATTTACAGGTGTTTACGTATTCAGATATTATTTAGTAACCTATTACCACACTGGAGGGCGGAAATATAGCGCTGATCGCTTTGAAATATTCCATGAGGTTCCAGTTATGGTCACGGACAACGCCTAAAATGTTAGGTGATGGTCAGATAACAATTTTGGGATGAAGTGGACCAAAAACATTTTTTTTTTTTTTTTTGTTTTTTGATTCGATCTATGGGTCACAATTGAAAGCCGAACATCACTACACAACCCACGGTGAAGGGAATCTGGACAAGTGATTAGAAGGGCTGTGCAGAGTATTAGTAATATTTGTTGAAATCTGGTCGGCTAGAGGGAGCAAATATCGCGAAATATTGCCCAGGCTCAGAATATAGAACTACAGAAAGTTATATTTTCGTCGAAGTTGTGTAGGATATCATATGGTCGGCCCCGTCCGACTATACTGCCCCGCTCACTGGTTTTAAGATTATTTCTTCCACAGAGTGGTGCAACGTCGTGGATTATTAAAGAATATTTTTTCAAAACTCTACCAAAGACGTGCATTTTTTAAAGAATATTATCAAGGGTCTACCAAAGGCGTCGATTTTTTAAAGAATATTCTTTCAAGGCTCAAATTTTTAAAGAATATTTTTTCAAGGGTCTACCAAAGGCGGGAATTTTTTAAAGAATATTTCTTCAAGGATCTATCAATGGCGTCGATTTTTTAAGGAATATTTTATCAAGGCCGAATATCGCAGTGATTGTAATTTGACATTCCAGATTTTAATAAAACCCCAAATCTATAAAATAATAAACCATTTACAACAACTACCATGTTGTTGTTTTTCTTTATTTCTTAATTTATTGTAAACAAATTATATCACAAGCACGAGACCCTCAAGACAGTGTTCAAAGCCGGAAATAGGCAAAAAACAAATTTTTAATTTTAGTTTGTCAAAAAAAAAACCAAATACAATAAATTAAAAAAAATCACTAAAATATTTATTTCAAAACTATTATTATCTTAAGTCTTGTACATACGTAGATTTATGTTTTTGAAATGGCTATTTTTGAAACAGAGCTCTAAGTCCATTCCGAAATTTTGTTTTTGGTTACTGATAACACTGGGAGAGATTTTGTGGCAAATTGTCACTATGGTTGTTCGTCTGTTTGACAGCTTGCATTGTATTGTACATATGTTTTCGATTATCGAAAACTAACAAACAAACAAAAAATTTTAGTTATGTTTTATTTGAAAAAATTGAAAGCTAGAATTCAATTTCAATGGGTGGTGATAAGCAAGCAGTGTAGAATTTGACAGTGGTATTCAAAAAATGTTTTTTTTAACTACGCCTCGGATAGGTACTTGAAAACATATTTTTGAGAAATCCACGCTTTGGATAGGTTCTTGAAAAATTATTTTTAGAACATTCACCCCTCGCATAGGTTCTTGAAAAAATATTTTTTAAACCAGTGAGCGGAGAAGTTTAGTCGGACGGGGCCGACCATATGATACCCTAAACAACTTTCACGAAAATCTTACGTTCTGTGGCACTATATTCTGAGCTATGGTAATATTCAAAAGGTCAATAAATACTAATTTTCAGTACAGCTCTTCGAATTACTTATCCAGATTCCATTCACCGTGGGTTGTGTTGTGATGTTCGGCTTTCAATTGTGGCCTATAGAGCGACTTGAAAAAAACCCAAAAAATATGTTTTCGGTCCACTTCATCCCCAAATTATTATCTGATCGTCGCTGAAAATTATAGGCGTTGTACTTTACCTTCCTCTTGGATATACTATCAACATCTCGGGTCTATGTCCTTCAGGGATAAATATGTACGCTATAGAAAACACATTTTATCATTTTTCACACAAATGTAGGGGTCTAATTGACCCACTATTGACCGATCTTTATCAAAACATGCATGCTTATACTCTGTCCCTCTCCCCTTCTCCATGTAAAATTTCGCGATGTTTGGGCCATAATTGAAGTCTCTGGAGCGACCAGAATCAGACAAAAATAAAGTTTTAGGTCCATTTCATTCCCTAAATATTAACCGTTCTTTACCAAAAACAATAGGGGGCTTCATTGGCCAGAACCCATCCTACAAGGAAAATTTCGTGAAGATTGTTCCATAACTGTGGCCTGTATCGTGTTTTTAAATTATATTTGACAGACCGGCGGACACACATGTCTAGATCGAATATATCGGTATATTTATAGGTGGGTCTAGGACCAATATTTCGCGGCGTTACAAACTCTTGGGGCTGCACAAAGCTATAATACCCTGACAACATAGTTGTGTAGGGTATAAAAATCAACGTAAGGCAGACCTTGAAAATATCCATGCTTGGTAGCCTTCCAAAAAAAAAATATTTTTAAAATTTCTTCAACCTTACAATCCCGCATCACCCACTGTAACATAATACAAAAATATATTTTGACAATATTTTAGTATGCTTTAACTGAGGCTAATAATCGCCAATGCGACAAAACATAAGCTACGCTTCTTTTTTTGGGGCCGCTTAGTGATAGCATTAAACTATGGTGGCAGATGATAAGGAAGAACTGATGCCAGAAGGCCGCCGCCGCTGTCGCCATCATTGGCAACATTGTATAAATGCCAATGACCAGACATAGTTCAAATCACTTGTGTCTGAAACTTCGAAGGCAAAAGATCCAATCAATCAATTCAACATGTCCAAATTGTTCTTCCTTGTTGGTCTTACCATCTTGGCTGTAAGTATAAGTGAAAAAAATATAGAAAAAATCTGAAAAATTCTCAACAACACAACCACCACAAAATCCTCGATTCTAATACGGAATATATCCTTTAAAAAAAGGTTGCCGCTGCCCGTGTTCCCCGCGATACAGCCGCCACCCCTGAATTCAATGCCGATGCTGTCTTCGGTGCCATCCAAACTGGCTTGAACAACTTGGGCAAAGCTTTCTTTGAAGCCACCGGTGCCAAGGATGCCGATGATTTCCAAAAGAAGGCCGCTGAACGTTTTGCCGCTGCCCAAGAAAGAATGAAGGTGTGGATTGAAGGTGCCCAAAAGGATGTAAGTTTCAAAGGCAAAGATTTTCGTTATTGGGAGATTTTTTAAACAATTTTTTTATCTTTTCTCCTCAGACCGAACACTTGAAGGAAACCCCTGTCATCAAGGATTTGCGCACCGCCTTGGAAAAGCTCGGCAATGACTTCAAGGCCGCCCACCCCGGTTTGACCCAAGAAGTCTCCGAACAATTGAACAAGGTCAACGCTGGTGTTGAAGATGTTGCCAAGAAAATCAAGGCCTTGGAAAACTCCGAAGAAAGCAAGAAATTCAAGGAAACCGCCGACAAATTGATTGAATCTGCCAAGCAACAACTCGAAACTTTGGCCAAGGAAATGAAACCCAAAGCCTAATTTCATAAAAAGAAAACAAAGTATTTTTTACCAAAAATAAATACCAAAGTTAGGAATTTTTTCCTAAGCTTTGTCTAAAAAAAATATAAAAAAAAATATTTTTAGTTATAAAAAAATGGGTCTATCACGGCACCAACCGGGAAACAATATTCTGGGATTTTCTGTAAAACAATCCCAGTATCAATCTAAAAATAATTGTACAATTTCTTCAGAATATTTATACCCTACACAACTATGTTGTCAGGGTATTATAGCTTTGTGCAGCCTTAAAATTTTGTAATACCACGAAATATTGGTCCTAGACCCACCTTTAAGTATACCGATCGTCATATCTCGACTAGCTGAGTCGATCTAGACATGTGTGTCCGTTCGTCCATTATAATTTGTAAACACGATACAGGCCACTGTTATGGACCAATCTTCACGAAATTTTGCATGTAGGATGGGTTCTGGCCAATCAAGACCCCCATTGTTTTTGGGAAAGATCGGTTAATATTTAGGGGATGAAATGGACCAAATACTAAATTTCTGGTAGCTCCAGAGGCCGCAATAATGGCCCGGTAAAAAATTACAAAATTTGTGAATATATTTGAAGGACATGGAGAAGTTGATATTATATCCAAGAGGAGTGGTTGACCCTTAAATTAATACCAATTATATTATTTTATGTGCTCGGATGTGGGAGTTACACCTAAATATTTACAGGTATCTCCGTATTCGTATATTTTTTAGTAACCCATTATCACTCTAGAGAGCGGAACTATAGCGCTGATCGCTTTGAAATACTGCATGAGGTTCTAGTTATGGTCAAGGACAATGCCTATAATTTTCGGTGATGATCAGATAATAATTTTGGAATAAAGTGGACCGAAAACTTAATTTTTGTGTTATTTTCGAGTCGATCTATAGACCACAAATGAAAGCCAAACATCACAACACAACCCACGGTGAAGGGAATCTGGTCAATAGCCTTACTGAATACTCGTAAAATTCGGAAAATATGTCAGTGTGAGGAAGAGGTGCTGTTTAACTCTAATCGGACAAGAGGGTGCAAATATCACGAAATATTGCCCAGGCTCGGAATAAACATCCGCAGAGTTCCGTGGTAGTTGGTCGGCCCCGTCCGACTATACTGCTCCGCTCACGGATTTTGGATTGGATTTTTAAGAGTATTTTTCCAGGAATTAATAGAGTTTATATTTTGAACAAATTGCCGAAATATGGTCGAGGATTTTTTTAAATATATTTTCATGGGCCATCATTCATACTAGTAAGTGAAAATTGTATTGCATAAATTTTTGCAAGCTCTATTAGGGTAAATATCTATGGGGTGCTATTCCAAAGCAAGTACCTACATCAAAAATATTGTGCAAAGATATTCTCCAGCGAACACAGATACATATTAATTCCTTGAAAAATCCTCTTAAAAATCCAATCCAAAAATATTCTGAAAAATTTGTAATTATTTTTAAATTGATACTGGATTGTTTTATTCGTATTTTATATGAATAAGTGTTCAAAAAGTGTTGCCAATGACGGGTTTTTTGCATTTTATGAATGCAGTTCTTAAAACATTAAATACTGGTTTCTTGTCAGAAAAAAACAGAGTAAAAAAAACACCATCAAACTCATTTGATGGGGATGAAATATCGAAATAATTTGGAAAATACATATGCGAATTTTGTAACACCAATGCAGGAGTCGGTACGAGGTAAAGAAAGAATGGAATGCAAAACTAGCCACAACCGAGTAAGTGGTGGTTTTTCTTTTCTTGTGAGGAATACATTCAAAAAGAGAGAGAGGACAAATGAGCGCTAAGTGCCAAAGTGGAGCAAAGTAGGATAATAATTGTGATATTAATGAAATGTTTAATTTTTTTGGAAAAATAGTGGCTGGAAGTTTTGGTTTCAAATGTTCCAATGCGAGAAAAAAATATATCCAAAACTACAAGCCAGTTATTTTCCCCTTCATCCTTTAATATAGAAAAGTCCTTTGTTTTGTTAATAAAATTATTTGTTTAATTTTATTTATAACAGTAAATATTTGAATGATTTTCTATACAAATTAAAGATTTTTTCAAGGAAATCATCTTGGCATTGCATCATCAAAAAATCAGCAATGATGACCCTTTCGTTGAACTCTGATACGAAAGTAATGCAAATAAAAAATAAAATCTTATCAGCTTTCAGAAAAAAAAAATGCACGAAGTAATACAAAATGTGAACTGTACGCAAATGTTGAGATTACGATTAGAAGTTACGAGAAAAATATGACTAATATTTCGAAAAATATATTTAAAAAATCCACGCTTCGAAAAGAAAATCAGCGAAAAAAATATTGAAAACATGTGTGCCTGTTTAAGGACTTTGAGAAAAAATAATTTATGATAAGCCTTGAAAAAAAACATTATTTAAGAAATCCAAGCCCATATTTAATTTTAAAAAATTATTTTTCTAAAAATTCAGAAGCTAAAGCTTCTCTTTAGGAACCTAAAAAAAACTATTTAAAAAAATCAACGCCTGTTTTAGGACCTGGAAAAAATATTTTTAGACCAGTGAGCGGAGCAGTATAGTCGGAGGGGCCGGCCATATGATACCCTACACAACTTCTATATTCTGATATTGGGCAATATTTGCACTCTCTTGACCTTCAACGTGGGTTGTGTTGTTATTCGGCTTTCAATTGTGGCCTATAGATCGACTCGAAAAACACCAAAAATTAAGTTTTCGGTCCACTTTATATTAATAGTATTATCTGATAATTACCGAAAATTATAGGCGTTGTCCTTGACCATACTTGGATCCTCAGGGACAATTTCAAAGCGATCAGCCCTCTAGAGTGGTAATGAGTTACTAAATAGTATTTGAAAACGTAATCACCTGTAAATATTTAAGTGTAACTCCCACATCCGATTACGTACGACAATGTAATTGGTATCAATTTGAAGGCCAACCACTCCTCTTGGATATATTGTCAACATTTTGGGTATATGCCATTCACGCTATATACGCTATAGAATACAAAATTTGTAATTTTTCACACAAAAGTCAGGTTCCATTTGACCCGCTAATTCTTGGCCGATCTTTATCAAAACAGGCAGGCTTATTCATTGTTTGGACGATAATTGGGCATCTGGAGCGACCAGAAAATCAGACAAAAATAAAGTTTTTGGCCCATTTCATCCCCTAAATGTTAACCGATCTTTACCAACAAAACAATTGGGGTCTTCATTGACCAGAACCCTTCCTACATGCAAAATTTCGTGTAGATTGGTCCATAACTGTGGCCTGTATCGGGTTTACAAATTATAATGGACAGATGGAGCGACGGAGACACATGTCTAGATCGACTCAGCTAGTCGAGATATGACCGAGATATGATCGGTATACTTAAAGGTGGGTCTAGGACCAATATTTCCTGGCTTTACAAACTCTTGGGGCTGCACAAAGCTATAAAACCCTGACAACATAGTTGTGTAGAGTATAAAAATATACACCAGTTTTAGGACCTGGGAAAATATTTTTAAAAAATATACGCCAGTTTTAGGACCTAAACATTTTTAATTTTCATAATGTCCACAATAGGTTAATGTTTTTCCTTTATTGGCAGTCTTTATTAAAATGCTTTTATAAAATGAACTCCTCTACGCATTAGCTATTGTGGGATTTTCCAAGTATTCATTTTGTTTTCTACGTTATCTCTAACGTAATTTCTCAAATCGTATATATTTAAAAGTCGTAATTTTTCAAATGATTTTCAATTCCAATCAGTACCAGCCAACGAGTCTTCGAATAAAAAACAACACAAAGAAAAACACTCGCACTCAACATGAAATTAACAATCCTAGCCTGCCTTGTGATCGTACAATGTACAGCAATATTCTCCCTGCCATTGTGTGTCCAAAATTCCGAAGATAATCCCTGTAAGACTAAGGGCAGTTTCCACGAAGTGAACTGTATGGAGCAACTGAAGTTCAAACATCCAAAGGCTTCCTGTTTTATGAACGAAAATGAAGAATTCATTATTTTGGCTTTGAATGAACAGCGTCTGATCAAACGTTCCGTGCCCACCGACCACGAACCGGAGAATTACCAATGTCCCTACAAGGGTAAAGTTGAAATTCATCGAATTAGACGCGATGCTGTCACCGAGGAGGAGTTGCGTGCTGAAGTGTTGAGTGCCAAAGATTTGAAAGATTTGATGACTCAGCAAAATGGAATTGCCACCGAGAGTCCTGTCGAAGATGTCACGGCAGCAGCTGCTGCTGGAGACCATGATGACTCTGACGATACACCCACTGTGGGAATTATTTTGATTGTTAGCATGGTGGGTGGTGATAGTAATGAAGTAACTTCTGACACAAATGAAACTGTGTCATCTACCAATTCTGAGGATGAACTTGCTGAAACACTTGCTGGTCTACTCCTGTTGGGCGCCATATTGGATGAAATGAAAAAGCAACAGCTTGGTGATAACTATGAACACCACGTGGGAGGGTCTTATTAGAGTTATATATTTTTATTTAAAAAATGGATGTATTTTTTAAATAAAACAACAATGAACATTAACTTGGCGAATTTTTTTTGTCCTTGAAAAAATATGTTTTAAAAAACACCACAACTTGGATAGGTGCTTGAAAAAATATTGTAAAAAATCTCTCTTATTGATTCTTTAAAAAAAAATTGTTTAAAAATTAATTTTTTTAGGATCATCAGTAGTATAGTCGGACGGGACCGACCATATAATACCCTACACAACGTCCATGAAAATCTAATTTTCTGTGGTTCGACATTCTGAGCATGGGCAATATTTCGCGATATTTGCATCCCCTTGACCGACTAGAGGTCAACAAATATTACTAATATTCAGTACAGCTCTCCTAATTACTTGTCCGGATTTCCTTCACCGTGGGTTGTGTTGTGATGGATGTTCGGCTTTCAATTGTGGCATATAGAGCGACTCAAAAAAAACCCAAAAAATTAAGTTCTCGGTCCACTTCATCCCAAAATTATTA